CAGGGCTCCAGCCCGTGGCCTCTGAGCTCCGCGGGTCTAATCTTCCCGCCCCAGCTGCCCTGGGAGCAGTGAACAGACTGGCCGACAGGGGGCGGCTCTGGCCCCGAACACGCACAAATAGAGCCTCGGGAAAGGGCAGCTGTGCCAGGGCTGGTGGTGAGCCTTTCCGGGACGTCGCTTGGCCCAATGACCAATTTCTAACAATTTCCTAGGACGTGTCTGTTCGCCCCCCGCCCTCAGGCATCCACGGGGCAGTGCTCGTTTCTTGTGCGGTCTGGCGCGTGCTCACCGCCCCGCCCTGCTCTGCAGAGCCTCAGGGCCAGGCTGCTGAGGTCCGGGGGCCTGCGGGGGCCCGGGGAGTTAAAGCCCCTCTCCCTCGACGGTCCCCGCCTCCTCGGAGCTCTGGATCCCGAGTCCCAGCGTGCACGCCGCCTCCAGGAAGCCTTCCGGCGGGCACCCTCCACTGCTCTCAGTCTGGAAGGTTCATCCCAGAGTCAGGGCTTCGACAGGGGCCCCTCCCCACCCAGAGCCCCAGGCTTGTTGGGGGGTCCGTCAAGGTGAGGGAAAGGGCTGAAGTTGGCCCCGGTAGGGTGGCCACGCACTCCCATGGGAGCAAGGGCTTTGCCCAAACCAGGGGCACGAAATGGAACCTTATTGATTTGTCTCCTTACGTCCGCTCTCCTGAGTAGGTCAGCTCTAAAGGTCGCAAAGGGTATTCAAAGGGGTTTCTGGCTCCGATTCCCCGGAGTGGGGGCGGAGGGGGTGGTATGCCCCACACCAACGGCACACAGCGGGTGTGGGGCAGGTCCGCTCGGTTCTGACCCATCTACCCGGAGGCAGACACACGCTCCGCAGGTGAAGGGCACGGGCCCGCAAGACTGCCCTCCGCTCTGGTTGTCACCTGAGCCGATGACTGGCTGGCTGTCAATCGGAGGTTTCCAAGACCCTGTCTTTGGGTTCCATTAATTTGCTAGAACCGTTTGGCAGTCCGGAAAACCCATGTATTCACTGGGTTATTGGTTTCTCACAACGGGCCTTAAGTGATGCAAATCACCACTCAGATGAAGACACTTGGGGCACAGTCCCGAATGAAGGAGCTTCTGTCTCATGGAGCTTGGGGCCCGCAAGGTGGCACCTGAAAGCATTGTGCCCGCCCCCCCCCCCCCAAGCTCTCTGAACCACTGCAGACACAGCTGATTCTCACAGCCACAAGGAGCTGCTCTTTTCGGGGGGTTTTATGGAGGTTTCATTACCTAGTCACGACTAAGTTATTGGCCATTGGCAACTGAGCTCCATCTCAGCCCCTCTCCCCTCTCCGGAGGTCCTGGGGTGGGACTGAAAATTACACACTTCTCATCACTTGGGTGGTTTTCCTGGCAACCAGCCCTCACCCTTCAGTGAGATCCAAAAGCCATTTCAGTAACATAACAAAAGACACCTGTATCACTCTCGACTCTTAGGAAATTCCAAGGATTTGGGGACCTCTGAGTTAGTTAACTATGGATGAGGACCAAATATCTCCTAAGTCACTACATCAAAGTATGCAATAAGAAGTCTGTCCTTCGTTGTAATTTTTTTTTTAGTGTATGTGTAAT